TTTTTGATTATCCTTAATATAACCTCTCCAGGCGAAGCAGGAGCGAATTGCTTGTCAATAAATAAAATCCATTTTGGTACTAGTTAGAAACATGAAGAAATAAAAAATAAAATTTATGTTAAGTATTAACTTCTCTTATGGAAACTTTTGTATCGAATTCTAAGTGATAGAGAATTGTCCTGAGTTTCTGCACAAACTTTAATTGGCAGAATACATAACTTACAGATCTATCAAGATTTTTCCATTGCTTTAATGATATCAAAAATGCAAACATTAATATGGAAAATGATGTAGATACATAAATATTTCGAAATAATATATTGCCGCTATTAAGATGAATGACTATTCTAATTATATCATCGAACTCATTTTAATACGATAAAAATGAAATATAAATTCCTAACGGTGTAGCGGAGAATATTAATTGTTAGGTAACCTCGAATATTTTCATGCAAATGAAGAACTGCTACGCAGATTTGACGATTTCTAGCCTCCCGAACAAGCCGGTTTCCGAAAAGGCTTCAGTACCATAGACCACATACATACCCTGCGGCAGATTGTACAGCAGACTGAAGAGTACAATCTGCCAATTTACCTTGCGTATGTGGACTATGAGAAAGCCTTTGATTCCATCGAAATTTGGGTGGTGCTACAGTACCTTCAGCGGTGTCAATTTGACTGTCGGTATATTGAAGTGCCGAAGTGTTTGTACAGTAGGGCTACGATGGCTATCCGAGTACAGAACCAGAATACGAAACCTATACAACTGCAGAAAGGTGTAAGACAGGGTGGCGTTATATCCCCGAAACTCTTCACCGCTGCATTGGAAGATGTTTTCAAGCTACTGGACTGGAAAGGATGCGGTATTAACATCAATGGCGAGTACATCACTCACCTTCGATTTGCGACGATATAGTCCTTATGACATAATCGCTGGAGGACCTAAGCACCATACTCAATGACCTCAATAGTGCCTCCCAACGGATAGGTCTTAAGATGAACATGGACAAAACAAAGATCATATTTAATGTCGATGTCACACCTATGCCCGTAGTAGTTGGGATCACTAAGCTCGAAGTTGTTGACGAGTACGTTAACCTGGGACAAATAGTCCGACTAGGTAAATCCAACTTCGACCGAGAAGTCAATCGACGGATTCAACTTGGCTGGGCAGCATTCGGGAAATTACGACATATTTTCTCGTCAGGTATACAACAAAACCTGAAAACGATATTGTACAACCAGTGCGTGTTGCCAGTGATGACCTATGGAACTGAGACGTGGTCCTTCACTGCTGGCCGTATATGGCCGTGAAAGAGGATCCTACTGCGAGATCGTTTCTCCGGAAGTTTTTACAAGACAAGTGGCAAACAATTGTTAGTGTACCACTCTGCAGTAACTACTTTTCGATCCCCTAAAACAATGGTTGTGTAATGACCTGTCGTTCCGAAGAACGAGGTCACTATCTTTTTCCCACGCTTCGACCTCTCTTCACTTTAGTTGGCCACTTCTCGGAAGGAAACACCCAGACAGCAGACTGACTCTTAGTTTTAGCATCATAACAATAAATACAGCTTACGTCATCCATAAGTATATCATCACAGCATTTGAGTTACCTCCGTTAAATCTTTGAACCATTTCACGACACCAATCAACACGACGGAGTTTTTGGGCCTCTGTTAAATTATGAAGTATCCACCGGGCACAAAGCTTTCTGACCGCTAAATGTTCGTGAAGGATTTTGTGCACTTGACTCACACCGATGCCAAAGCTTGTCCGAATCCGCTGATAAGTCACTCTTTTGTCAGTCTCTATCATACGCCGCACAACACTGATGTTATCTTCAGTCGTCGCCGTAGAAAGCCGTCCCTCACGCAGATCATCGGTGAGATTAGTGCGACCACGTTTAAACTCATTAAACCTGTTGTAAACAGTGGCACGAGATGGGGCTTCATCGTGAAAGGCCAATTGAAGTCTATGATAACTTCCCTGTTGACCTAAATGACATGAAAAAATCATTGCACGAAAATTTTCTCGCGTTAAATTCATGCTGAAGTGACACAGACAATTTTAAATTTACCGCCAAATCGTAAACAAACTAATGAAATACATACACTTTAATATTAAATTTCAAAATTCGAACTTATTTTTTTATTAGGTATACAAGTGACCAGTTCTAAAAAACTTTCAATATCAACCTCGCTGCATGTAAAATGCACAAATAATTGTACAAGTTAAGAATACTAGATACATGATTGCTAAAGGTACATATACCTACTCTGAAAATAAATCCAGTAGCGTCATGGGGTTGCGTTGTTTACTTCAGTGTGCCCACAACATGTGAGCGCTCGCGGCGCCTCCCGTGTTTGTTCAGCGTAATTGTGTTTAGACATTGTTAGAATGGAATAATGAGGCAAATATAGCTTACGAAACACCACGCTGAAGATGTAATGATGCGCAAAATCAAGTTTGATTACACACGTTTCCAAAACACCTTCTATTTCTCAGACTAACCCAAAATATGTTTTTAAAAAGATAGATCAATCGAGAAATAAATAAAATAAATAAATCAAACGGTTTAGCTGATGGTAAGATCACTGCCGCCCATATATATTTGCAATAATCAGAGAAATCGCAGGTTGCCGGTCTTAGAGGAAGAACAACCCTCCTTTTATAAAGGCCCCTAACTTTTATGGGTCTGGAAAAATGGCTGCTCACAGCAGGTTGTTCAAAGCAGTCGCAGCACTGGTTTCCGCATTCTGCCCTATGTTCTGTTGCACCTTCCTTCCCATAAACAAGTTATTGACAGCATCTAATTATCCGAGTAAGTCTGTCCAACACCATCAATACTTAAAAATTGTCTGTCAAGTAAGGTTATATGGTTAAACCCTTCCCTAAAAATCTGCCTTGCGTAGGCGAGAGCCTCGCAATTTTGAGTATGTTTTTTTTATGATATGATGAATACCGTATGCCATTGAGACATATTTAAAGAAGTGCAACATGTTTGATATGAGCCTACACGTATGAAACATATTCATTTTCTAAAATCTTTCTTATAATATTTTCTAGTTAATAATTATTGCGCTTTTACCTAAAAATACTATTAAAACATGGTTAGTGAAATTTGAATTCTTCGTCAAAACATTTATATTACAGAAATGTATTTAAATAGCTTCAAGTTCACGACTCTTGCTATAAACCGACAGTTTTTTGTGGCTCACGTCAAGGCATCGCCTTCGACAATGCTATACACAAAAAATAAAAAGACGTCTACAATACTACCGCATGGAGACGTGGCTAATGTGTAATTCAGTTGCCTTTTTTCTCGTCATTTTGTATCTTTTTCCACTCTTCGATTCGGTTACGGTTCGTATTGATCGAAAAATACGATTTGAAAATGGGCGCTCCGAGAATTTTATTGTTACGGCAATACGTTCTTAAACAATAAAAAACACTTTTTTAATCTGTGAATGCAATTCTCACATGTCACGTTCGAATATTGAAGGGGACGTGGTCGTGTTATAGAAAAGTAATTATACCAAAACGATTGGGTTCCGATTCGAGGACAATAAAAGACCTCATTTATTTTTTCATATAGCAACTTCACCTTCTATTGCGAACGTGATGGCGTATGTTGTTTGATTGGACTTACGTAAATAATCGCACGGACAAGAGCATTGCAATTTCAAAGCAATCTAGTTGTTGACAGATCCTATTTTACGACATTTGCCTACTGTGACGTCACATCTAACTACGAAATCTATACGTTGCTTCTATTTTAATTCCAAATTATTTTATTATGCTAATAAATGGCCGCCGCGGGTTCCGCTGTGAAGGTATTTATTACGAGGCTGCAGAGGACATGCCAGATTCACGAACCTTTCAAAAATGTCATAGCTTTTTAAATTTGGAAAATATTATTGAAGAGATGAAAATATTTCAATTGACTTTACAAATAAATCCCAATAATTGCAACGCCATTAATTTTTGTTTTTTCATTTTAATACTATACGTGAATATCTCATAAAATTAAAGTAAATTTCTATTCAATTTGTACAGTTACGATTGAGTTTAGTCCTTTCTAAAAAGCATGTCTGTAACTTTTCTACTACATTAAGTTATATAATTAGTTAAATACAAATAATACCATGTCATCATCATCATTACAGCCCTTCACAAGTCCACTGCTGAACATAGGCTCCCCAAAGTAATGCCACAAAGCACGGTCCTAGCCACCTGCATCCATCGACTTCCTGCATGTATTACCAGGTCGTCACTGCATCTAGTGGAGGGTCGTCCTACACTACGCCTACTGGTACGAGGCTGCCACTCGAGAACCTTTTTTTCCCCATCGGTTGTCGGTTCTGCAAGTCATATGGCTGGTCCATTGCCACTTCAGCTTACTAATCCGTTCGGCTATGTCGGTCACTCTGGTTCTACTGCGGATATTCTCATTTCTAAGTTTATCACCCAGAGAAACGAAAGTGTGGTTTGTAAGATGCAAGATGATGACGAGATGGTGACCAGGATTAAGAAAGGAATGCTTCGGTGGTTTTCTCATGTTGAAAGAATGAATGAGGAAAGACTGACAAAGCAAATATATGTTGCAGAAGTGAATGGAAGAATCGGAAAGGGAGGTCCTAGGCGAAAGTTTATCGATTGGCGATATATTAAAAATGGGCCAAATTAAGAGTACTCTTAACCGACGAGCATGTATGCGTAGGTATTCCATATACCTGTACTGTGTATGTGGAGGAGGCGAGGGAGGTCAGAATCGTGCTAAATCGAAGTCTGTCGTCTCTGCCTACCCCTCTGGGTGACAGGCGTGAGTGTTTATGTTTTTATGTTATGTATTGATATTTTTAACGTAGCTGTTTGCACTTTGCACCCACAATATCTTCTTTTCTTAGACTGTAGGTAGACTGTAGAGAATGCCTTGTTGTATATAAAGCTGCTGCATGAAGTATAAATAAATTAAAAAAAAAAAAAACATAACTTACAATGCGTAGGTGCCTTTCCAGCCAGATAGTCCTCTTTACAGATGAACTTGTTATCGTCGAGCACGTACAATTCCTCTCCAGTTGAAAGCTGCTTCCGACAAACGAGACAGGTGAAGCAGTTTAGGTGGAACACCTTCTCTCTGGCCTTCCGGACAAGGTCCGATGGCGAAATACCGTGTCCGCAGCCGCTGCATTTCGTGCCGTAACGCCTGTAAATTAAGAAATAAATTAGTTTTTTTTAATAACTGTAAACTATTGGGTAGGGGACACTTCGAACGATTTCAATCAATTCAAACCAATGATATTATAAGTAAACTTTTTCTTATAATATCATTGATTCAAACAATAGGGTAGTTGAATTTTTTGCATTCTGTAGTGTCTAAAACTTGGTCTGAACAATTATTTGTACAGCTTTCTACAGAACCTCTTAATCCCACCCAAAATCTCAAGTGTCCCGGAAATGATGCGGTCATCAGCTTCGACAGTTCGCTTTTTCCGGCAGTCAGATCTCTGGTATAAGCTTTGGAACCTCGGTTCCGCTCCATCGCTTCTTTGAGTTGAAGTTGCGTAAGTCTCGCTGCATAAATTTAGAGATCTGTTTATTTAGTTTCCCGTGTGCTATCATATCTGTAAGACTGCTGCTTTATTTTCCGTCTAACAGCCATGATATTAAAAGTGTGATCGAATAGCTTTTGAATTCTACGACGAATCACAATATAGGTACAATAACCTAATAAATATGTGGTACATAGGTATAAACGTGTCAATTTTACCCGTGTTTTTTAATCACCTCTAAATGTTTAAAGATTAGATTTAGACAAAAAAAAAAACATTAGCCAAATATATTACAGACATAAAAACAGTTTTTATCACAGAACGTGTGTTAAAAATATTTTGTTAAATAAATATACCTAGTAAAGATGGTTTTGGCTGTAGGTATCATCCTATACCAACCCGTAGGTATTGTAGGAGGGGAATGAAACAGAGGGAAATGAAATGAAACAGCCAAGCCAATCGCCAGCAGTACCTTTATAATAAAAACTGAAAATCTTTGAGCCGATTTATGGGGCGTATTCTAAGTAGTTAACTTTTAAGGCGCTACTCCTAGCGAACGACCTTGAGCGTTCGGTCCTATACACTCCACGCGCTCTCGCTACAATATAATGCGGAAGAAATACGCCTGAAATTATAAAATATTTTCTTTATAAAATTTTAGTCCCTTGAAAATATTTAATTGAACAAAATGTCCGTTAATAAATTGCCTGTCCATTAGTGTCAATCGCAAAATAAAATAATTCTTACTTTATGAGGAGATGCATGTTATCAATAATTATTTCGCATTTCTGTGGTTTAGTTGTAGGGAGATTCATCAAGTATTTACTCCTTTAAAAAAATGGAATTGGCTATTATAGAATCAAGATTATATAGAAATTAAAAAAAAATTATTAGTTGATGTATCTTTTTAATAATTAGTAGATAGCTCCTAAACATCGCACAAATAAAGACTATCGCGGCATTTTGCTCAAACACGCACCTTAATAGACTGTAATTAAAAATGAGCGATAATGAATACTTAGGCGATTATTCATTTTAAGTTTAAGTAATTAAACTTTTAACATTTTAAAACGTATCATTGTTAAACTTGATTGGCAAAACTATTAAGGCATTAGTCATTACACTATATTCACATACAATTTTTATAAAAATATTTGTTTTGAAAACTCTTGAAAAATTTAAATAGACAAGAGTATCAAATACCGGAATTTAAAAAAAATTAGGAAAACATGTGCACAGTAATTTATAACGTAACTTATATGTTTTTTTTTTCTATATTAGATTAAACGCTGTGTGTATGTTGTTTAGCAGTGTGGTGGCATCGTAATGGAATCCATGTGACTGCGGCTACAGACTCTTTAAAAAACCATAAGATGTCAGAGAAGCCATGCTGTGCCAAGCAGTGTAACTTATGTAAGGCTCTATCATATTTTTATAACGTGGAAGTTGCTACTTTACATTCGAAAGTGGCATCTGTAAACACCTGGCTCGCATAACCGTTGATCGACAGTTATAATATTGTGAGAGAAAACTTATTTGGAGCCCAACGTGTTCCTATCATAAACGTTAATCCCATGTAATTATCGACGCAGGTTACACTTTTAAATGTAATTTTTCACTTTCACCACACATGATGTAACATAGGGCGTAAATTTTTAAGATAGTATCACTAAGTTTTTTTTCGACTTTATCGCCGTTACATTCAAAGTTTTAACTTGTTTAACGTAAGTAAGCTTTCTGATAAACATGGTATTGCCAGATTATCAAAGTTTGCCTTAAAACGAAATAAGGTGATGGATATATTAAGGCAACCATCATATAATACTCAATAAATGATTTATTTACATTTTTTTGATACTTTTTTACCTAAAGAGTCACATAATCCCATTATTTAATGTTTTGACACTATATTCCCCGAGGTTTAGGTGATCACTGAGAATAAATTTTGTGGTTTCACTGCCATATCATATTGGATGACGACCATTTTTATTAATAAATTCACTTATTCCTAAGTTATAAATTTGTATGGGTAATACTTTTAATTCAAACATGAATTTTATAAAATTCAACAGTCAGTACGCTGAAATTAAAGAATTAAGTTCAACGATCATTGAACATGTAGTCGGCCTATCAAAAAGTTCCCCATCTCAACTCTCACGGGTACACTCGTTCACCTGCGACTTGACATCGAAATCACGGAAGTTGAACATAAATTGTTTTAAATAGCGAATAATCCTCATAATTTATACTATTATTATGCTGATGACTTTAGAAGTTAACATCGTAAACACTTTTAACATAACGTAACACGGATGCGCGAGCTCTAAAAAATAATCGAAATCGTTAGAACCGCTGTTCTCTTTCATTTAGTAGATTGAGTCCAACTTTACAGCTAGCTTTAAAAATAAACGAGTCGCCGCTGACTAATTTTATGTCGATCCACGTTAAAATATTAATCATAAATATAATTTAGATATCACTTTCAAAACGCGTTATTGACAACCCATCAGAATATCGATGGATTTGAAATATGCGTCGTCGGAGTCATAAGGGTCAATAAAGACCGAACAATGAAATGTTAAGTAATGGCATTATGGCGTTAAATATATGCAAACGTTCGGAAATTAAAATGTTATAAGAAAATTGAGCAACAATTGAATCTAGATATCAGAATTGTTGAAATGGTTATAATAACGTTAATAAATTATGAATTTTTTTAATTAAAAAATTGAATTAATAATAATAGGTAGGTTAGGTATATTGTGTCAAATAAAACGCATAAAATGCAATCAATTGCGAAGTTATCATTCTAGGAAGAGTTTTTTAACCTTACAAAAACTTACTTTTGTTAAAATGAAGCTAAAAGAAACAATATGTTCTTAACATACACTGACCGGCACAAAAATCGACTCACTTTGAATTTTAAGTAATTAATTGTCTTAGAATATTTTTTTGTTATCATGTTTTATTGATAAGTGCTATTTATAACAATCTTTGGCAAAGAATATCCGACAAACAAAACTTGTAAGCAAAATCGGGACTCATCTCTGAACAGTACTTGGCTCCAATGTGCCATATCCCAATTCGCATGTTTATATGCGAATGCAAGCCTGGTAAGACCTGGGTTATGTGCAAGTCTTTTGGCCATGATATCAGTTTTATTGAGGCGTCTCCTGACAGTCCTGTCACTTACATGCACATCTCGATTCCTGACTTCAACAGCAGTCATGGCCCTATTACGTAGTATTATAAGGAGTAGGGTCTTTGGCCTGTTCCTGGTCGAAAATAAACACAATTATGATTTCAGGATTATTTATTTAAAGATATCATTAATAGTGAGTCGTTTTTTGTGCCGGTCTGTATATTGTTAACCGCATACTGTTCACATATTTATTTAAATAAATAATTTATTCAGTTAGCTACAGTTTAATCCAATGCAAAATTCCAAATAAAGTTACTGAAGTAATACCTACATAAACAACTAAATTAAAATAATTATAAGCTTTCTACTTCCCTGGTCATTATCTATTTGGTAGTATACTAACGAATGCCACTATAATAACTGTTTTGCTCGGTTATTGAATATAGAATGACGTGAACGCCGGCAACGGTATTTTCGTGAGTGATGTACTTAATCCTTTATTTTTAGGTCAATACCAGCGATATTCCGCTCGTTATTACCGATTAGAACACTGGCCGGTTATATCGACCGATCATGCGATTATGTTTCTGTTGACATGCGATTAAAACATATTTTTGACATTCAGCAATCGATTATTAACAATATATTTTTATGTCCACTGATAATTCGTGATTTTTAAGCGAAAAAAATAGAATAAGGAAGACTCACGAGCGCCCAGTCCACCTGATAGTAAGTGGATGCTGTGGCCCATAGACATCTACATTTATCCTCGATTAAGAATGTAGATGCGTTGTCACCCCCTGAGGACAAGATGGAATGTCTCATTTTCAGTAAAAAAGTATCCGGTACTCTACACCCACCATTCGAAATACAGCAGCATTAGCTGCTATTTTACGCTAGTATTCTGTGAGAGCGTGGTAGCACCCCGGTCGATCCGACCCATACGTGTTACACACATATTATAGCTGCAGCTTGGGTCTGCCACGTAATAGTTAGGTTTATTTTAGATAGTAAACGATATGATTTTATTGCTGATATTTTTTAATTTGACCAATTGATTTTGAGTTATTTATTTATTTATTTAGGTTTACCAACTACATATAAAATCATTTCAGTTACATTTTGTTATAACGCTATATATAATATGTACTTAAATTATAGTTGAGTAGGTACAACACTTTAATCATTTTGTTAAAAAACAAAACTAAAAATTTCTTGTGTTAGATTTTAATTATGTTAAAAGAGAAGACTAATATGAAATAAAATAAAATATTTTAACTAAAACCATAAGTTTATGTTATATTTAATATGGTTATTTAAATTATTATCATTTAGATTGAATGTTTGAGTATCATGTTACTCAATATGCTTTTCAACATTCATGATTTTTTAAAAATGATTCATGAAATATAATATATAACTACTTAAATATCGTTACAAAGCGTTCGTTTTGTTTTTTTAAATATTCACATCGGTGATGAGGAGTATCTCGACCTGGCAATCGTAATGACT